CCCCCCCCCCCCCGGGTAAAGAGTTTGGCATTATTCTGCACAGGATGGTGGGAATTTCAAGCTTTTGGGATAGGGATGCTCAGAGCAAGCACTGCAGGGCTTGTGCTCATCTTGCACTGTGCATCTGCTCAGCTCAGGACCTGGGAGCCTCACACCTTTGTCATATCTGTGCTAGAACCTAGTTTCCCCTGTGGATGCTTTAGGGGGAGGGAGATGCTACTCCCAGACAAAAGCATGGGACTGCAGTGTCCCTGTGATGCTCGCAGCACTGGCTGCGATGCAGCTTTCAGAAGCATCATCTCATGTACCACCACACTCCCTTGATTTCATCTTGGCCACAGCAAAGCAAGGAGACTGCACTGTGCAGCTTCATCCCATGCTGCTGCTTTGTGGGGGAGAGGAGTGCCTGGCCCTGCACTCGTTAAAGGCTCACTTAGCAGCTCCAGTTATTCCAAATTAAAATACCACATTGTTTTCATGAGGAAAATGGATTATAAGCTCAGAGAAAAAATGTGCATGGCTCCAACCCCCCACTTGCTGTGAAGCTCCAAGCAGGAGCCAGGCACGTGCCATAGGCAAGTCCCCATCCCCAACATGGAGCCAAGGGGCTGTGAGGCTCATGGCCAAACCTCATGCTGGCATCATGCAGGTTTTACTTCCCTGGGCCTCCCTCATGCATGCAGAGTAGCTTGGTGATGCCCAGACTGGTTGGCCAGGATGGGGTTTTTACATTGCAGGACCATTTGTACAACTCCCATAGAGTGCTGCTGCTGCTGCTCACTCTCAGCATCAATGTGCAGTCACTGGAGCTCAATTACTCAGCCCACCTGTGGGCTGCAATAACACTTAGCAAAGTTCTTCTGGGCTTTTTCCATCCTCCTCCAGCTGTCAGGTGGCACTGGGAGGTGTTGGGAGTTCCCCTGATGGCTTTCACAGTACTGGCATCCAGCCTGATCTCTTGCAGGAGGGAGACAAACCCCTCTGCTTGCAGCGTGCAGGCAGACCCAGTGGGAGCTCTCTGCAAATGGTGGCAAAGTATCTCATCCTTTCCAGTCCAATCCCATCTTCCAACTCATCCAGTCCCATTCCAACCCTTCCCATCCAGTCCAATCCCATCTCCTCTTATCCCCTATCCCAACCCCATCACCCCATGTCCTCTCTGTTGCAGGCTGTTAATGGAGAAGAGGGCGAATGACAGCCGGGACCGTGGTCATCACAGGTGGAATATTAGCAACTGTCATTTTACTCTGTATCATTGCTGTCCTCTGCTACTGTAGGCTCCAGGTAAGGCAGGGTGATGTGGTGGGGATGGGATAGGCTAAACCAATCCCATCTCCCATGCATGATGTGAGAGCGTTGGGATCCCAGCTGAGCCCCATCCCCATTCCAGTACTACTGCTGCAAGAAGGATGAATCCGAGGAGGATGAGGAGGAGCCCGACTTCGCCGTGCACTCCCACATCCCTCCGCTCCACTGCAACCGCAACGTAGTGCTGACCAACGGGCCATCCCTCTACAGCTCCTCACCCTTCAGCAAGAAGGCAACGCCGAGTCGCAGCGGCTGCCCGGGCTGCGGGCAGTATGAGCCCCCAACCTTCTTCTTGCAGGAGCCTCCCGAGGAGCTGCACAACGGCGGGGACCGGGTCAGTTTCCAGACCGTCAGCCAGGAGGAGCTCGACCTGCCGGTGAGCGTGGGTAACCTGCAGGCTCTCAACCCCAACCGGCTCTCAGCCATGCGTGAAGCCTTCTCCCGCAGTCGCAGCATCAGCACCGACGTGTGAGCCTGGCGCTGCACGGAGGACTTCTTATAATCCATCACAGTGTTTTAAAATAAAATTAAAAAAAAAAAAAAAAAAAAAAAGCGGAGTTGGGGGGGGGGGGGGAGGGGGAAAAGTTGAATGTAATGTAATCTGCTGCATAGGCAGAGATGAGCTAAACTTCAGTATAATGGAAGGGGAAGTGAGGGTGGCTTGGTGGCAGCTGGGACATGAGGTTTTCTAGTGCTGCGTTGCATTTCTTTTTTTCTTTTATAAAGAGGATTTTGATATTGTGCATCCTTTTATACAGAGAAAAATGCCCGTCATCCACAAGTGGCTGGGGGGCTGAGCTGGGAGGCTGCAAAGCTGCTGTGCTGTAGGGATATGTGGCACCTGGGGGCTGCTGGCCCTGGTGTGCAAACACACCCAGCCAGCACCATCCCCTGGCAAAGCTGGGCTGCTGCTGCCCATCCTTCTGCCACTGCTCTGTGCTGCAGCCCTGCACATCCCATCTCTTGCTCCTCCCATTCCTGTCCTAATGGGGCAGGAGCAGTGGGTGCAGACCTGGCCCTGCTGATAGAGATGGGTTATCAATCAACTTACTTAGGGCAGGGAGGGAGGAATGATTCCAGATGGAGGAATGCACCCGCAGCTGCCCTCTCCAAATAATGAGCCTCCCCTCTCCAAATGATGCCATATGCTACTTCTAATCTAGGGAGCTGAGTGCTGGCAGAGCGGGAGTGCACCCATGTATGTGCACACACGCCCCTGCATGCACATTTCTACTTTAATTTTGAAGATTACCATAAGCGTTACTTCCCATTATTATTAATTTATTTTTCAAATAGAAGCAGTCACAGCATCCTACCCAGCCAGGGACATGGCAGAACACTTCATTCCCTCCTTGCTGTCCCCTGTGTACAATATCTCTTGCACAACACCCTATGGCCCCAGGTTGGGCATTATTCAGGTTAAAAGCATCACCCTGCACTGGGGCAGGGCTTGCTGCTGCAGAGGAGGGGTGGCTACAAATCGACCCTAACAGCCTCAGTGCTGTGCTTGGGGGCCAGGCTTTGTTTTTAGAGATGCAATGAGAAGGAAGCACTGCTGTTCCATAGCCCTCAGCATACACACGCTGTGTGCAGCCCAGCTGGAGATGTTGCTTTCAGCTGTGAGGGCTTTTAATTCCCCCAGGAAACCTTGCAAAGCACAAGTCAGCCTCTGCAATCCAGTACCTTTGATAGGTTGGGGTTTCTGTTGGGGGATTGGGGCTTGGGTTTGGCCACGCTGAATGGCAGCACCTACTCCAGGCAGCAGGACCACGGCTGTACAGAGCTCACATCACTTTGTTTGAATGCATTCAGCCTTTGAGTTCTTTGCCTTTCTTGTGGACATTTTCTTGTTCCAGCTTTCCCCCATTTCCTGTTCTATTTTTGGGGGGTTTTTCCTTCCGTTGTAGCTTGGAAACTAAGCAAGTGATTGACATTCTCTAACCTTCACCTGGTGAACTGTTGTACAGGACTTGGGGAATCATTGAAGAAGAAAAAAGAAAGCAAAAAAATAAACTACTTTACTTTGACACAGGCTTTGCTGCTGACCTTTGTGTACCCACATTGTGAAACAGAGGGCAGTGGTTGCAGAAGTGCCACAGGGGTGCAGGATCTCCTCATTGTGAGATGCTCAATGAACAAGAGAGGTACAAGCCTGGGTTTGGGCAAAGGCATCAAGGGGGGATGCTCAGTGAGTCCCACCCATAGGGCTACAGAACCATAACCATCTTCAGATCTCCTTTTTTCACTAGTTCCCTTTCAAACCTCTTTGCATTCAGGCTCCTTTAGAAGCTTGCAGTCCCTCAATCAATGCACATCACACCAAATCCCACAGCAATAGGTCAGGAAGGACCCAACTCAGGGACTTTTTCTCTTACATCCAGAGCTGGGAGCTGCTGTGCTGCCTGAGGAATCGGCTCAGCACACAGCAACACCCACCCACTACAAACTGGAGAATAAAACAAGATACCACCATAAATATGACAACTTTATTAAAATATACATATGAGTACAAATTAATGATTACATGGATAAAGTTCACTGTCTGTAAACAAATATATTAAAAAAGAGCACGTCTTTTTTGTGATATAAAGTGCAGTAATGTTTCCATATTATATACAATATGTCAGCATTCAGGGGAGGAGGGGGGTTGTAAGGACTACAGCACTAACATTTGGTTACAAGATAAAATCCTCTGAAAAAGTATACACCTCCATATTACAAAAGAGGGCTTGGGCTTGAGTTCATTTAGCAAATGAAAAATCTGCTTCCCACCACGTTAAATGTGAAAAAGCATTGAGGATAAAGCAGGGAGGAAGCACTCACCCCCTCTGCTAGGGAACACACCTGTGCTTTCACTCCCATGGGTCCGTGCCCACCCCACACTTGCATAGGCAAAAGAAAACAAAAGGACAAGACCTTGTGAAACTACGTGAATGTCTGCTGTTGGGGGAAATCAAATATACACGATCCTATGTACAGCTCTGATAACCAATGTACAGCAGCTCTGAAAGCAAGCCGTGCCAGCGGAACGAGGAAAGGGAACATCCATCCCCAATGCTCACCAGCAGGGCTCTGGGCCCCAGCCCTGCACTACGAGTGGGGGGTGCGGCAGGAGCGGCAGCAGGCTTTGCTGTAGTACCAGTGGCTGCACAGGTTCACCTTGATGGCCAAAGCACAGTTGGTTCCTGCCTGGTCCTGGCAGCTGTCGTCTGTAGGGGAGAGAAGAAGATAAGCATGGATATGGAAGGAATAAAACACAAGTTCATACGATTCCCTTTGGCACCACACATGGCCCAATGTGTGGCTGTGCAAAACATCACCCCATCTGTCACCACCATGTCCCTATTACCAGGCAGAGCAGCCATGTGCTTTCTCTATGAATATTATCATCCAGCCAAGCCAAGGTTCACATCCCATCACACACAGACCCAGGGAGCCTCCTCGCTTGGTCCCACTCTGCAACTCAGACTCTTCCTTAAGGAACAGAGCTGCCCAGAGATCACCAAAGCCACTGAGGGATACTGGACTGAGCTGTCCCTAAGCAGAGGGGCTCCCATGGGAGCACAGAGGATAACCTCAGCACACAACTCCTGTCCAAAAATCCTATTTGAGCTATTTGGGGCAGATGGAGAGAGGGAAGAAAGCAAAAACCACTATAACACACATCCAGCTCCCTCCAGAGTAGTATTTTGCTTCAAGTCCGTATATAAGTTGTAATTTTTGCATCGTATCCATAGGAAGCACAAGAACAGTCTGCTCTGGGGGGACCATGGGAGGACTCCAAAGTCCCACACCACATTCCTGACCCACAGGCTGAGCCAGGAGCTGCCCCAGGCCTGCCTGCTGTCTTCCTGCTCTTCTCCCACCTCAGCCTTATTCTCAAATCCTATTAAACATATTAGAACCTCGTGTTTGCTAAAGATCACAGGGGCTTTGAGCCAGCAGACAAGTCAGATAATGAGACAGTTACAAATCCCGCAGGACATTTGGAGACCAAAAATCATTAAAATAATGGCACAGACGAAAAACTTCCTAGACACGAGCTGGAATCACACAGAAGCACCACCCGATCGCTCCCTTTTTTCTTAAGGTCAGAACACGTTGCTTGTGAGCTCTCCCCTTTATTTAATGGCCATGTATAGAGACATACAATGGTACAGCACACAGTGCCATTACTGGGGCATAGAGAGGGCAGATCCGGGATGACCATCAACATAGCAGTGAAAAATGAAAGCTAAAGGTGTGCTGCTGAGGAGGGGGCTCACCTGGGGGCTCGGTGGGGCAGGGCTGCAGGTCACAGGTCTGCTTGCCTACCGGCTTCACCAGGGGGTCGCAGCCACGGACGATGTCCTTCCCCTGGTAGCACTTGACATCCCGCATCCTCACACCGATGCCGCAGGTTTTAGTGCACTGGGGAACAGAGAGTGGGGTGAGGTGAGAACCCCCCCAGCACAGGGGGCTGTGCTGTGCGAGAAAAAACAACAACAACAAAAAAAAAAACACTGCAGCAGCTGGGGGCATGGCTGAGCACTGCCCTTTACTGAGCACTGTGTCCACACACCGCTCTGCTGGCCCCTCACTGCCTCACTGCTGCCAGCAGCAGCAGACGTCTGCAGCAGACTGACTGCTATCCATGGATGTGCTCCCACCCCTGGGGCTGCACTCCTCCCTCCTCCTGCTGCTCTCTGCAAAGGGCCACGGCTGAGCTGCGTGGCTCAGACACTGCTTATTGCCACCGGGGGGGCTGCGACCCTATAGCTTATAGGGTGCGGGCACTGGGTTTGGTGCCTGTGCAATGTGTCTAGGGGGGTTTTGCAGAGCAACTCACGGGCTGTGCTTGCTGCCTGCTGCCCTTTGGCCGCCTCTTCGTGTGGGGATTACTGCAGGGTTTCTTGGGCTAATTATAGGCTGCCACGACAGTTTTCAAGACTAAACAAAATGAGCTCCAGGCAGACAAAAGGGGCTGCATTGGGGAGCTCTTATGGGGAGCTGCGAGCAGCTCTGCAGCTCCTCGCAGAACTGGGGCATCCCATATCAGCCCAGCCTGGCCCCAGCATCACTCCCCAGCTTCCAGAGCCCCAGCTCTGCTCCCTGCCAACCTGCAGGGCAGCATCCATGTGCTGCTGGAAAAAGGTGGTGAAAAAAGGAGAAAAAAAAAAGAGGGAAAGAAAAAGCCGAAGCTAACCCCAAATAGCTCTTATTCCTGATCTGTACAATGAAGCAAGTCCTGTCTGCATTTTGTCAGAGCTGCTATAGCAAAACAAAGGGGCCCCTCTCTGTGCTCCCTTGCAAAGTTTCAGCCAGCTCCACGAGGTATTTTGCAGGTGTGCAGCCTTTGGTACAAGGCCATGTGCTCAAAGAAAGCATCTTCCTAGAGCTGTATCCCCTCTACCCCAACCTACCTCTGACCAGGGGGTGGTGTACCACTTGAAGCACGGCCGCTCAAAGCACGTCGTCTCCTCCACAGGCTTCTTGGCCACATCACAGTCAGAGGGGTTATGAGTCTTGATCTTGCCATTAACAATCTCCAGGCAGAGCACAATCCTCTTCTTCACACCCCGGCCGCACGTGGTGTTGCACTGCAGGGTTCCCCACCATAAGCATCCTCCATTGCCACCGCCACGCATCACCCCATCCCCAGTCCTTACCCGCTCCCAGTCCTGTGCCAACCAGTGTGACGGGCAGTTCTTGTCCCCGCAGGGGTGGATGGCCAGAGGTTTTGTCTCCAGGTTGCACTGCGACTCCGGCACCACGCGCCCATCGCTGGTTTTGCAGTACACGTGTCGGATCATCCTGCCCTGCCCGCAGCCACCACTGCACTGAAACCACAGTGGGCACAGCAGGTGGTCACAGTGCAGTCCCAGCTCCACAGATAGGGAGCAACAACGCCTGCATCCTCCCCGCCCACCTCATCCAAGGATGCTTGGGGTTGCAATAAGAAAGCAAATGCCCGCTTCGCTTCCTCTCGTAGGGAGCCAAAGCATCCCCATGGCAGCAAAACGGGCAGAAAGGAAAGTGCCACAAACAGAGAATCACAGGGCAGTTTTCAAAGAGTCTGAGTGAGGGGCTCTGGATGTCCCCCCCTTTGCTGCCCTACACCTTGGGGGGAGCAGCAGCCACTCCAGGCGAAGTGTACGGAGCTTCACAGCACCGCTGCTGCCATGGAAACTGCTTATTTTTAGCCACAGGATAAAAGCTGGGTAAAAATAGCTTGGGACAGAAAGGGTCTCTGTAGCAGAAGCATGCAGGAAGGGAAAACGGGGTGAAAAGGGAAAAAGGGTCATCATCTAGGTTCTGAGCATCAGTACTGCCAAGCTCAAGACCTCAGGCCCACCAAACCCCAGCGCTGCCACCACACGCTTAAAGCCACAGCATGACCCAGGTGGTGCCACCCATCCCTCCCCAGGCTCACCGGTCCCCAGTCAGACACGGTCCACTGGCGGTCGCAGGGTGGCCCTGTGCAGTTCTTCTCAGCCAGGGGTCGGGCACTGGCATCACACAGCTTCTCCTCTTCCGAGCAGCGGATGTCCCGCGTCACCACGCTGCGCTCACCGCACCGCGCAGAGCACTGTTGAGGACAGAGGGGACACACAGGATGGGTATGGGGTGATGGGAACTGGGAGATGCTTTTGAGGGTTTCACATTTTTAGCCTGGAACGCTCTACAAACGCATGATGAAACCACAGAGCCGAGACTTTTTTATCCTGCGGATAAAAGTTGGCACCGCGCAGCCCAGTGACATTATTTAGAACCAGGGTTGAGTTACTGCAGTCCACCATGCACACGGTTGCTCTGTGCATGCTGTAAAGCAGGGAAGAGTGTCAACAGCACAGTGCTCAGACGCACCGTGCTGATATGTTAATCCTCAGATCTCCAAAACGTGCTTTTTTGGGGGCTTGTTTCCAAAGCCAACTTGGCACCCAGCTTCAGATGTGATCCAAATTAGATTAGCTCTGCTGCTGGCGCAGAGCGAGCGGCTCCAGGGTTGTCTCAAGCAATCTGTCCCTGACACATGCTGGAGGTGTAGAGGGGTTCTGGTAAAATAAGCAGCTCTAGTTCTCTCTGCCAGTCAAAATATTGCGAGAGCACGTGTGCAGGGAGCTTTGCTCTCCTGGATTGAGAAAGTCAAAACATCCTGCAACAGCAGAAAGGAGCAATCCTCCATCAGCAGCATGATGGAAATGGCTCACCCAGCCTGAAGAGGGAAGCAGATGGGGAATGATGACCAGTAATGGCTTTGGAAGGCTCTGGGAGGAAGGGGTTTCATTCATTCTACATGGGTTTCATTCTTCTTGTGGTGTGGTGCAACGGGAGGTGAGGAAAAGGTGCTGATGGCAACACCGTTTCCATGCCAACGTCATTCCTACTTCCCTGTGCACCAAAGGGGCAATGCACATCAGTCTCAGGGGCAACACCAGCACCGTGCGTGCTGGATTAATAAAATAAAGTGATTTATAGTGGCGGCTGCCTCATCCTGGATGAGATTTTCCATTATAAGGGAAAAAAATATATATGTTATTAACCAGTGTGCATTGGTCCAAAGACAACCATCACTACCAAAGTCCTAAGAGGTTCCCCTCTAATGACCACGGGTCATTCCAAAGCCCCAGAGCTTACCTCTGACCACTCAGACATCTCCCATTGTGGCCCACAGGCTGGGTTCTTGCAGACTTTGCGTTCGTCGGGCCGGGTGATGTCAGCTGACTCACAGAGGTCGCTGTAGACAGAGCTGTCAAAACCTGGAGAGATCATCTTCCAGCAGCGCACGATGCGGAACTGGTAGCCCTCACCGCAGGTACGGGAGCACTCACTCCAGCTGCTTGTCTCCCACCTGTGGGAGAGCCAGAGAAAGGATGCAGTCAGCTGGAGGGGTGCAGGCAGCCTTTGGGGTGCTACAATCAGCCTCCAGGAGGGGCTGCGCTGAGCCCATTTGGAAGGGCTTCCTTCATTCCCCCCAACCTGCTGGGGTCACATGGCAGCTCCTCTCAGTGCTTGGGCTCATGGAATGGGACCAGCCCTACTACTGATCTCCATGCTAGGAAATGATTAGGTTAATGCAAACAGAGTGTGAAATCCCCATAGTGTGTCCAGGATAAGGGAGCAGCACCATCCCCCTTCCCTGTGCTCTTCTTGCCTGCACTGGCACTTGATCTGGTTTTCAGCCTTAATGTGCAGAGCTCAGTGAGATCTTACACCCCAAACATTCATCCCCTCTTCCCTCCCCAGCACGGCTAGCCACACACTGCCATCAACCAAGCTGGAAAACAAGCACTCTGCATTTTCACAGGGCTATAACCAGCCCCTGGGATCACCCCACTCTTGCTTTGCACTGTGGATGAAGTCATTGCAGAGCGTGCACCAGGCTGTTCTACTTCTCTCTTTGCACTGCTCATGGTCTGACACTGTCACAGCCCTCCCCTTCAACAGACACCAAGCACTGCTGCTCCCTACAACAAGCACATCTCTGCCGTACACAAGTCACACATTTCCACTCAAGAGTGCAATCCAAATCATCCTTTTTTAGATAAAATGCTGCATCAGAAGGGACTCCAGCACACATTCCATCCCTCCCAACATCTCACACTTCTCCCTGAGCACAAGCAAACCTCAGTCATGTTTAGGATGCCGAAGAGGGCAGAGGGATGGGTCCCATACCTTGGCTGGCACTCTCTCCCAGCACAGAACTCATGGACGGGCTCAGGGCGGGTCATGGCATCACAGTACGTATCGTCCACTTCGATCCCATCATAGCGGACACACATAGCATACGTGGACATCACTCCTAGTTTCAAAGAGAATACACATACAAAAAAACTTCTAAGTCATGCTTTCAGCTGCATTTTCTAAAGCTTCCTCCTGAAGGAAAGCAGCAAGCCAGCCTTTATGCCCATGGGGAGGATGCTGGCCAGCAAGAAGGGCCATGGTGGCCACCAGAGCCAACCTAAGCAAGGTCTGAAGCTAGAAATGGGTCCAACTATCGTGCTTAGCACCAGTAACAACACACAACCATTGTGTTCACATAGAAAATGCTCAGGGTCTGCTGGGGTGCTCCCCACTTCCAGGCTGGTGGATGAGATGACATGGAAACAGCCAAGTCCCAACCATTTCCATGTCACCTCCAGCACTGGCGCAAAGAGAGCCTGGCTGCAGCCTAGCCTGAGGGACAGAATGTTATCTAGTCTTTCATCGGCTTTTGGGGACCAGCAGGCTGCTCTGGCTGCAGGAAACTGCAGATGCAGCGCTCAGAAATATATGATTTGCATGAAACTGAAAGACAGCTACAGCTCCTGACATTGCATGGTTCCTCTGCAATATGTCATTAGGAAAAGGTAACAAGAAAAGCAAGTTTTAAATAAAACCTTCCCCTGCTAGCTGAAAACTGGGCATCCCTAGGATTGCAGTCTCCTCTTCACCCCTTGATTCTAATGCCAGAATCCCCATAGTGTCAGGATTATTCCTGAGACCACACTGGTGAGCAGTGTGGCACTATGGGACAGAGCAGGGTCCCTCCTTTCACCTGGGAGCCAAGGAGGAGGGAAAGCAGCGTCCTGGAGACAAAAAAGGGGAATTTAAGGAGCAGGGCCAGATTGGGGCAGGCATGTTGCTGTTCCAGGCTCAGTGTCACAGCTGACATCAGGCACAGCAGCAGCAGGAGTGGGAAACCAAATGAAAAAGCCAAATGCCACTTTGTTTCCTGCCAGAGCAGAAATATCTTTCTAACTCTGCTCTGTCAGAAAGAAGCTGAGCTTTTCAAAGCCTTCTGAGCGCACAAAAGGGGAAGGAAAATAAAAGATGATGTGAGAGGGAAAGCAGGAGCCCGGCAGCAAGGATTTCAAGCTGCTCAGGTTGAAGGAGGCAAAACCCAGCACGAGCACCAGGACCCTGCAGGGCTGGTAAATGCTACGTGGGACTGAAAGATGGAGAAATCCCCTGTGCATCACCAGGTCCTTCCCATCCCTACCAGACACAGCGCGACTCACACAGCTGGGGCTGTTCTCGTAACTACCTGTGGTGCATGTAGAGCTGCAGGGTTCATGGGAGGAAAGCTTCCACCTGTACATGTCAGCAGCACTCACACCTTGGCCCTTTCTTAACAACTTCAATCTGTTTCTAGCGACAAGCACAAAAAAGAATAAAATAGTGTTTACAAGGAGAGCCGTGATATGCCACGTCAGAGAGACACATCTGCGAGCAGGATGGGTTTGGGAGGGGATTGGCTTTGTTTGTCGGTTCGGGTTTGGTTGCTCTGATTTTTGGGGTTTGTTGGTTTGAATTGTTTCATTTCGTTTCACAACATACCTGTCCTGAGCCCCAAGTAGAATCCCCAGCCCGGTTAGAGGCAGAGCTTCCACTGTCTAGAAATAGAGAGAATGGGATAAAAATACCCACAAGTAGAAACAGTTCAGAATTTCACAAAAGTTTGCATTTTCTGCTCAAATACACCTGGCCCTCGGCGTACAGCGGCTAAAGGCGCAGCATCTCCTCCCGGCGCTGCTGGGCTCGGGCTGCTCCCAGCTCCTGCCTCGGGGTCTCAGCAGCCTGACGCTTTGCTTTGGGACACGAAGGCATGCCGCTCGCCTACCTGCTGCCTCGGCCACTCTCGCTGGGTTGTTTTGGTTTTGGATGCGCGATTCGCATCGCTCACGTTCACGCTACGGTCAAACGCGTAACGGCATTGAGGGGGGGAAGGGAGAACAGATTCAGCCTGGTGCGTGAAAAAGCAGCGTCAAACCAAGAACAACGGCTTCTCAGTGCGTCGTACATCCCGGAATGTTGTAACACGTCAGGGATACGGCACCTTCCCAACAGAAGGCTTCGGTCCTCAGACCTTTGTCCAGACCCTGGAGGTGCCTACGCTGATTGGAACAGGGGACAAGGCTGTATCCTGACATCCAGCTGTCTCTGGCCTGGCAAGATACACAGCTTTATGATTTCTAGGCAGCAGAAGCTCTGGGATTGCCTTATTTAGTTGTTCGTAAGTTCACATCCAGCCTATCCAATCCACTCTGACACTGAGAATCCAAACGTTCCCTTCCAGACCCACCCTCCTTCCAGCCATCCTCCAGGAGGATTACACGCAGTTCTCCTCTCCCCTGGTTATTTTGCCTCTCATTTTGGCAGAACAGTCATTTCCTGCATTCAAAAGGAGAACTGAAACAAACGTGGCTATTTTTGCCCCCCTCCTCCCCACAAAATAACCACCTTGACTTGCTATACATAGTGCTTCATCTCGCCAAGCAGCTCTGCCACCACCAGCCCTGACACAGCCACCAGGATAGTGTTCAGAAGAGCCATGGGAACAGACATCTGGGTTTTATATTGCAGTTTGCCTGGAAAAGGGGCTGGGACCTCACTCCACTGCTTTAAGGACCAACACCAGCATCATGTTGCCCTGGGAGTAAGGCATCCTTGCCCAGCTTCGCAAGGGGAAAATAAAATAAGCATCTCAGGGCAGAAAATCCATCAGCACTGCCCCTTTCACATGATCTTAAAGGGCTTCTACATGTAATGAGGTCACATGGATAAGTTCTTTCTGGATAAGTCAGACATTTGGTCACAAGTCAGTGCTCAGCTCTCGTCATTTCCAGAAAGACAAAACATGCTTTTGCTCTCTAAATGCCAACAGCAGCACATCATCCTGTAAACAACATGGGTGGGTTTTTCCTATTTATTACAAGCACTGTGATAACGTTTTCTTCCATGACTGCACTTTACTTCTGCTTTTCATGCAGGAGCAGCACCAGGCCATTAGTGCCAGGTGCAGGTCAGCCCTTGCTGCTGCTTTCTAGTGAAGCTCTTTCACAGGGCAGCAGAAACAAACGCCCCTTTTGGCAGCAACTGGTGCTCTGGCTGCCTGTCCTCCCAAAGCCAGCCTTGTAGCAGGAAGAGAAATCCTAAAAAGTGCAGCTGAAGAGGAGATAACTCCTGGAGGATGGCTCCTGGAGCACAAGCCCCCGCTCCTGCTGGAGGAACAGGTCTGGCCCCTGTGCTACTCTTTGCACACCTTGTGGTCCAGCATCCTGCCCATGGGTGGGGAGATGGGGAGTAAGAGCCCCCCACTCTACTTTCACATTTTGTTTCCATACACACGCTCCACAGGGCAGCACAAGTTGCTAAGGGGCTTCCTGGATGGCTGGAGGGTGAGGCCCTGTTAAAGCACTTTTTTTTTTTGGATGATGCTCCCAAATTCAGAAATCTAACAGCTTTTTCAGCCGTTATCATTTAGATCTGAAAAATTTGTTTCATTCCAGAGAGTGGTGAGAAGTAACATTGCAGAGCAGAGCCAAGGGAGGAATGGGAAGAAAAGCACAATGCTTGGTACTTCCACTGAACGGGCTTAAATCCCTGAGCTGTGCCTCTGCACCTCTGATAGAGATGGTTGAGAATAATAAGAGAGTTGATGGTTTGCTTTGCTTAGCACAGGTAACTGCACTCAAGTGCAGTCAGTCTATTGGGGGCTACCCTGCAACAGTCAGTTGCTCTGAGTTTCAAAGCATTTGCAGTTCCTCCTGGGGAGGCTGGAAAGCATCAGCCACATTTAACAGCTCCTGGAACAGAGGCATAGGTTACAGGGTGCTGCCCAAGGCCACCCAGGGAGGGTGCAGGGAGCAGGGCAGGCTCCTGCTGGCCCCAGAGAGCAGCACTGCAGGGAGCTGAGGCGCTGCTCTCGCTTGTCAGAATGCTAACAAAGTGCTTACTTTGGCAGCAGAGGCAGGGTTTCCAAGCCAAGCCACAAGAAGAGATGATAGACAAGCCCGTGGCAATGTGTAAGTGTTCTTATCATTAAGAAGTCTGTTGATATGTTTGGCTGCACGGACATTTTCTTTAGCATAAGCTAGCATAAGTTCTAGATAAATACAGCTAACTATAACCAGAGAGCATTTGTGCTGTGCTTTTCATCTCCTGAAGTTCAGCATCCCAACCTACATTTTACCAGTGGGAAGTAGCACAGAAAGGAGCTGTGCACTCAACCAAGCCAGGAGGGACCCAAACCCATGGCTGTGCCTTTGATACCTGGATGGCCCCCGGGGCCATATTTCAGCCCAAGCTCCCCAAGGAATCTGTGGCTTCATGCAAAGACTGCTAATTGCTGCTCTGCCCCATGCTGGGAACATGCTGCTGAGAGCCCTGCGGCACCTCAAGAGGTGTCCTCATGTCCATGCTGAAGAAGTACTGTCCTGAGACTTTCACACAGCCTTGTCCAAGTGAATTATGCTGCTAGAGACAGATTACGCTTCCTTTTTAAGCTTCCCCATTGCACTTTTGTAATGCTACCACTCAAAGCCAGCTATCAAAGGGATCCTGAAGTGCCAGTTCTATTATCAACCACTTTAAGCTGCCAACTGAGTGCTTTTGATGTTCTTATCAGAGCAGTGATTAATTGCACTGTTTCTTCCTCCATTAAGGCAACAAACCCAGGCTATTTCTGTAGGCCCTGCACAAAAGCTCTTGCTCTGCTGTGCCTCTGCAGCAGCAGAGAAGCAGCAGGATCAGCCCAGGGGAGGAGGACCATGAGCAGCAGTCAATGGGGTGCATAGAAAGGGCCCAGAATCAACTTCTGCTGCATCAGAACTAGGAGGAAAGTGCCCAGGGAAATCAAAGTGGGACACCAAAACAAGAAGTTTTGCTTGTTTTTATGAACTCTGATGATGTTCTATGACAGAGCAATAGGCAAGCTGACAGCCACCACTGTGGCCTCACCAACAGCCCCACTGAGGAGGGCAAGTTTTTCCTCTCGCTCAGAGGTTCTCTCAGCTTTCTACTCAAACCATTGGCCCTTCCTTTCAGGTCAATCCCTAGTGGGAAGCTTTTGTGACATTCTACTCCCACTTACCTTCTGGCTTCCAAAGAAGATACAAATTATGCAATGGGTCTGTATTGCGTACAGTGCTATTATGAGTTGAAAACAACAATAGATAGGATTGACTATAAAGATATGTCTCCTACCTTGCTTTGTGAGTTCTGTTCCCTTGAGAGCTGGTCATGGTGACAGTGGCATTTGAAAACGGTGTCTCTGCAGATGAATTGATGGCTTTGCCATTGCTGAGCTCCATGTAGGTGCCATTGATGGTATAGGTCACAATGCCATCAGTGTCCTCGTAGTCAACGTAGAGGCTGTCGATGTGGGACCCCACAGAGTTGATTGGGTCTCCCTGGGCAAAGATGCTGTTCATGGTCATGTTGAGTACCAACTCCTTGGAGTCAGAGGCCTTGTCCAGCAGTTTGTCTGTGATGGCATTCTCCGAAAGGAATTCCCTGGAGGTGAACCTGGGGTCGAAGTCTCTGTCGTCATGGTCTGTCTGGTAAGTAGACCTGGTTACGTTTGAATCTAGATTGGAGCCAACAGGGGAAACAACAGTGACAACCACAAAATGCATTTGGGCTGGGAGGTGAAAGCAGCCCCGAGCAGCAGGGATACACCAGAGCTTGAGCAGCCATGTCAGGGGCAAGTAGAAGAAGTAGGGGCCTTGGGGCAGGAACCCCTGGAGTTGTGCCCACTTGGAAAGAGTCCCTGTGGGCCTCATCTTGCAGTTGTGTGGCCCAAGGAGGAGAGCCCAGCACACAGCAGCAGGGTCCCAAGCAATAGCAGAGGTAAGAATGGTGCCCAATGGTCCCAAGCCCACAAGCCATGCAGGGGAGGCCCCCAGGGCAGCTTGGTAATGGGATACCCAAGGGACTGGGGAGGAGAGGAGCTTGTTGGTGCTGTGGAAGAGTGGAAAGTGAGAAAGGAGGCTGCGATGGGGAGATTGGCACACCTACAGCTCCCTCCCTTCAGCATTAGGCAAAGCATCATGGAGCATCAGTGGGACAGCTTACCCACGGCATCCCCCACCCACCAGAAACCAGAACCTGAAGGGCAAAGAGGATTTATGAGCAGAGATGTTTTAAAAGAACTTTCCGAGGTTTCCAAACAAACCAGCAGGATCACTAGAGTTAGAAACAGAGCGTTTCTCCACAAGAGCTCTGAGAGCAGAACAGTGAGGCCCAAGTCTCCTCCTTACCTTTGGGTTGTTTGCCCTTCAGTTTTGGCTCACAGTCAATTGTTTCTGCTCTTTCATAGACCTCATTGGTTTCCTGACCTTTGCTCAAGTTTAAATCTTCCTCCGTCTCCTGTCTTCCAAACACCTGGTTCTCCAAGTCTATCCTTTCCCTGGAGATTTTCCCAAAATAGGTTGCGTTGTGTTGGATAAAACCCAATGGCACGTCTCCATCAAACTCCCTGCTCTCTTCGCTATCTGACTCAGAAAAGGTGTAGTAGATGGGCTGGAGATTTGAGTGTGGCTTCCTCAAAAGAGTGTATTCAAACGTGATGGATGGATTTTTGCCATTCTGATTCCAGACCTAGCAAACAGGACATTATTAACGGATGCAGTGAATATATGGCACGCAAAGTTTGTGATTCATCTTGGACTTGACAGTTGGTGAGTATCTACCTCACTGTTTCCAATCTGCTTTCCATCACATTGCCAGCTTCATACAATTGAAGCCCACAGTTGTCCAAGGGTTAGTATACAACACGCAAATTCACAAGCAGCTCCCACCCAGCAGCTGAGCAACTGCTGAGGCTTGGGAGAGCTGTCTTCATGTGCACAAACCTCCTTTTTGAGGCATTACGGGGAAATGAGGAGCAGGTGACTAGGTAACCATCCCTTCCCTTACAGGCTAGCCCATGGACACAATGAAGATGGCAGGAGGGCGGGTGGGTGGGCACCAGTTGGTTGCCCAGAAACAAATATCTGGTTTTAGATGGTTTGCCCCTTCCTCCACCCGACACAGCTTCTCCCCCCCCCCACTTCAGTCTCACGTACTTGAAAAGACAAAGCTCACCATTATGTTCAATCCTTGGTTTGTTGGTCCTTGTGCAACAATATACTCTATGCCAGTCTCATAGACGTCCATGGGCCGGCGGTACTTGAACACCGTGCCTGCAATGTTGAAGTTCTTTGGGCTGTCAACTTTGTAATTCCCATTGAAGAAATAGTACCCAGCTTCGTCAGCCACAGCTTAAGACAAGAGAAACAAAACAAAATCAGTTCCAAAGGCGAGATGTAGCATTGCCATTTGTTTGCTCAGACTATAAAGTTATTGGAGTGTCACAGTAATGAGACGTGTTTTCTCCTACACTCTAATGCATTTGGCAGATGTTGTGTTCCCAACATACATCCTGCAGGTAAATGCCCAGAACCCTGGGCTATGTTTTCCTTCACAGTGCAAGCTCCCAGGCACATCAGCTGACAGCACCAGCACAGCAGAAACACAAAACAAGAACAGCTCTGCAGACAACAAGCAGATTGACAGAGGCTGCAGGTGGAGATGCCTCTCCAGGAGCCCTGAGCTGACTACGTCTCACCCAGCTCTGTCCCAGGACTCATCCAGAGCTATCCAGGACCTGTCCTTAATAAAGCCTGTTTGCTCTTGTGAATGGCCGTGAGCCTCTGAGGCAGCAGCAGAGCACAACAGCAAACACGTGCCTCCATTGGGCAAGCCTAGGTTCTCAAACAACCCTACAGAACATCTATACCCTCTCCAACTCTGAGATCAGCCTGTGAGCCATCCCCATGGTGCTGTCAGGTGGCTTTTGCTCACTGCCCAAGCTAGGAGAGATGGAGGGCATCACAGGAGAGGTGAGGTCACTTGATTGTCAGCCTATTCAAACTACACTGCAGCAGCAATGATAGCAACCAACAATTCTGCACTAAAGCAATCAGAACGCAGACATACACAGGTGCTCAGGCTGAAGTGAGGAGAAATGCACGGCTGTGATTTACACCAATGGATCTGGCTTGAGTCTGCAATAAAGCTACATTCATACAGACACTGAAAAAAATATATATTAGCTAGCACACATGCATTCTAGGGAAGTACCAAGAGGTTATACACACCCAGAACATCTGCAGATTTTTTCCGTTCCACTATCTGGATATCCCTTGCTCCAGCAGGAATGTGCGTTACCAGGGAATAGCCTATGGGAAACTACAGATTAATGAAAGGAGAACTTTGTAACGAGTTATCTGAACACAGTGCTCAGCAGACAACGCTGTGATTCGTGAGCAGATGGGACAAATCCTGCTAGCAGCACTGCAGCTCACTCTGTCTCAAACTGATCTCCAGAGAGCACTACTCACGCCTGAATTTGGGAGCTGTATTTGGGACCAGTAGCTTCCGTTGCTTTACACTAATTTTGGAAATCCTGGTCTTTCAAAACATCCTCACTTCCTGTTATTACAGTGCATTTATTGCTAGTTTTAGCGGGTCATGGGTAAGCAAACAAACCTCTTGCATAACTATGCTGCTCCATTCAGAGAGCTCAGATTCCTGAGAAGGGTCATGGAAAGGGACTGTTTTTGCAGAAGGGTTTCCCTGCCCAAATCTGCAAGTGCATCAGCATAGAGGACACATGGGAAAAGGTGATGGAGGACACTCAGTGGGAGCCTGAAGCAGTTTACTGAAGAAATAAACGCAGCTAAAAACACAAATAAAGCAAAGGGACCCTTGGAGCCTTACCCAGATGAGAGTTTCCTTTCCTGTAACTCCCCGTCACATGAGTGCAGCTGCTCCCATCTCCTTGGCAAACTCCACATTTATCCAAGGTGTGGGTGGAAAAGAGAATGCCATCGCAGCCAATTGGCTAGAAAAGGCACAGAGTACTGCGGGTCAGGCAAATATTGCACCCCTTGTACCACTCTGAATGCTACTAACAATATTTTTGCTATAATGTTTAACAACCTCACATTTTCCAGACACGCAAACCCCTCGGAAATCAGTGTATTTGCAGGATGTTCCATCCCGAGCCTGAACCATTAATTGTCTCTGACCATCCACAGTGGTGCAATGGAGGTCACAGGGCTTGCTAGAAATGTGAACATAGTCATCTAAGGGGAAAGGATATAGAGACACATTCAAAACAGCAGAAACACAATAACTTTCATCCTACCAATGTCAATGAATCTCTGCCAAGCTAAACAACAGCAACACAAATTGCACAGCAGGAGCCACAACCTCTCGTGCCTGCAGGTTGGACAGGAGATTGTGCTCCTGGCAGCCTGCTGCTGCATGCCTCTGCACAGCTCCAGTGCTGGAATGAGATGCACCTGCTGCTGGCAAAGGTACCACCAGCATCACAGCCTCTGTGCTGTACAAGGGCGTGCAGCCACATAATACATATTACACATATGCACAATCAATATTTAATACATACATTAGTCGTTATAAACAGACATACAAGGCTATTCAAAAAGCTTATAACTCAAGATCTCTCCCATTTACGTTCTCCCAAGTGAGGCTCAGTTTGCCCCTTGCTTTCTGCAGATTCTTTACAATACCCACAGGAAGCAAGAGACAAATCCATGCGTGCAGCAGAGCCCTGTGCCAAGCGTTGCACTCCACAAGGAGGGAGCAGTGATATACCCACTGGCCCAAGGCAGCATCAATGGCAAAACATTATCCTGCCAATCCCCCAGGAGACACGTGAGCGCCTGCTAAAAAACAAAACAATTCACTGTCACTATTCTGGTGAATCATCATCTTGAAGGGTGAATACGTTCATAGAAATTGTCCCCCTCCTATGGCAAGGTGACAAGGCTGAGCAGAGCTAACCACATCCCAGCACACAGCCCTGCCATGGGGATGCAGGCAGGGGCTGGTGTCACTTGAAGGGAAGCAACAAGGAATATTACAAAGCATAACTGTTGGTTAGCATCTACAGACACCCAAGCAAGAAAATTCTGCCAGATCCTCTATTTTCAGACACCTAAGTTCCCAAAGGGAATCCCAGTATCCCCTGGCATTGGCTGGGATTTTCTTAAAGCTTGGTTTCAGTGGGAGTTAGGTGCCTAAAAATACACTTACAGTATATATATCCCAGTCTGACTCCTCAGTTATCCCTGCTGTTTCGTGTCGCTCACCCTATGTGACCGAACTGACTCCATCTCAGTGACATTTGGCAGAGCCCACACATTGTGTGGGAGTGAGCAAACGTCACAGGAATGCACTGCAGCCAGCAGCAGCCCCAGCTCACCACACACTGGATGAGGTGGACGCTCCCTGCCAGCACAGAGCATCACCCCATGTCCTCATCCTCCAGCCTGCCTTTCTTGGGAACAATGACCAAAACAAGCTGGAGGATACTGTCACAAATATGTTTTGTTATTTTTTAGGTAACCCTGCAGCTGGAAAGCCCTCCTTTGAACCTGGGAGGCAGCTGATTGCATCCCTGAAAAAAAAAATCACTTTAAAACAGCAGAGGAGGGGCCTTCCTGAACTCCATAGCATCATAACTATCAAAATATTTTGGCTAAGCATTATGAAACACACAAAGAATGTCTTGTTACCAGGGTATAAAGGTTTCCATTGATACGTTCTTCCATTATACACATGGGAGTTAAAGGATGAACACTGCTCCTCTCGAAAGCTCCTTCCGTTTGCAGGGCACTCCTAGAATGGGATGCATTAACATCCTGATGAAAATCAAATGTGGGAGAGGCTCCTGGCACACAGCACCCCATGCAAGGAGCACTTCTTCCATCACCTGCCCCATCCAGAGCCACATCCTCCTCCTCCCACTGTGGGGACAGCCAGGGAAGCCCCAAAGCAGATGGCACAAGAAGGATCCCACTGGGTTTTATGGCCCCAACAGCAGGGATAGCAGCCAGAGAAGTGAACTCCAGCTGCTAGAGGGGCAATATGGGGGGCTGCTGCAGAAGTGGAGCAGCACCTCCACTCCAAGGGACTCAGGAATGCCATCACGTGAAGCAAGCATGACTTCCCAGTTTTTCCATCAAACATCACCAGCAAGAAAAAGGATATCCTTACTTGTACTTTGCAGAGCTGATATCTTTTGGATGTTCCAGTGCAAGTTTTATTAGCCAGCCCACTCACTGACTTTCGTCTGAATAAAGAAATAATGGTTAAACAGGGGTCAGAAATACTTTTCTCTAAAGGAGCCATTTTTCCCTGCTTCTTCAAGACCTCACATAGCAAAGCCACACCTGAAGGAGAAACCTTGGGACCAGCACAGAGCATCTCACCTCCCAGGTAACAGTGACTGGGCAAGAGGTGATGGCCCCACACAGTGCCAGGGGAGGTTCAGGTTGGATATCAGGAAAAACTGCTTCTCAGAGCAGTGATGCAATGGCACAGCTGCCCAAGGAGTGGTGAACTCACCATCCCTGAAGGTGCTCCAGAACCGTGGAGACAAGGCACTGAGGAACACAGCCAGTGGGCATGGTGGGGGTGGGGGATCTTAGTGGTCCTTCCCAATCTTAATGGGAATTCTTTTCCTAATGGGGAGGATGCAGCCCCTCACAACACCACGCTCCAGCCACACTCACCTTCTGCTCACACAGGGTTTGCCAGCTGACCCCTCTCTACTTGCACTCACCCACTGAGCAACGACCTGGACCAGACCCACTCGGTGTGCACACACCAGGGTCTTCCCACCTGCATACCTCTGCCGCAGGCAGTGCCTCTCCTGGGACTTCACACCTCCACCACAGCTCCTCGTGCACGCCGTCCACTTGGTCCACTCACCCCACCAGTATGCAGTGACATCTGCACCCTCCTCCAGGCTGTTGGAGGTCTGAGGCAGGTCCTGCAAGCACCGGGGGGTTTGAGAGAGAAGCAGCATTCAGTACTCATTGCAGAACCCATCCAGCCCCTGCTGTGACATCCCAGGGCATTTTCTTCCCATCTGAGGTCAAGTCTGGGATTCCCATTCTTGCAAGAAATTCTGCTTTCTCAATTGTGTTTTCATTACAAATTGGAATGAAACTGCAATATTTGGGATTCCTCGGGAAAGGAAATGTTCATTGTTTAGCCCAGTTGGCAAAACCAAGCTCCCATACAACCCACAAGTTCTGGCTCTTGCTCCACCACAAACCCAGAGAACCAATGAGCCGGCGGCAGCTGAGAGCTGAAGCAAAGCCCTGCAGAGCCACCCCACAGAGGCACAGCACACCCACAGCAGGCTGCACGAGTCCAGGTGCTCCCATTACAAACACCACCAGGTTTGTCACTTCAGGAGGATCCCACACCTCCCCCACTGTTGCAACCCACACCTTGGGGACAACGAGCTGCTCCAGAAGCAGCATCACCACCAACAGGTACCACAGAGGTTCCCATCCTTTTCCCAACCCCAGGACATTCACTAGAGATCACCCCCCCAATAAGGTGACACTTACCTGAGCTATCACAAAGGCCATGTTGCCCACGACGAGAAGGGCCAGGGCAGCCCTCAGCCAGGACCATACACTGACAGAGACCCTGCTCCACCTCCACCTGAGCATCTTCATCCTACGGAGCAACCACGCCGTGCTGAGCAAGACCCCATGCAGCCCTATGGGAAGACCCCCACCACCAGTGACTGCAAGGGCTTGATCCAGAGGTGGTACCTGATTAAAGGAAACATCAACATGGCACAGGTTCCCATCCCATCTCAGCTGCTATCTGCCAACCCACACCTCTGCATTGGTTCCCAGTGGCTGCACTGGATGTCATCAGCGTGCCTGGCTTTTAGAAGACTTGTATATTTCAGTCTCACCAAGTATTCAATACAATTAACAGTGATTATTTTTCCTTTTCATTTATTCTATTCTAATTCCCAGCAATTTCTTGAACCCTGCTCTTATAGAGAAGAAACAACATGCAACTGAAGTGCAGAAACACGGCATCCCAACTGTCAGCCTTCCACCTCTTTCTCCATTTGCCTCACAAAAGAGAATAACCCAGAATGGCATTTTCTTAATTAAAACCCAGCTCAAAGCCACAACATATTTCACTGTGAGAGCCAGAAACAGGCAAGCTTCAGGAAGTCATGCTTCCAAGCAATCAAAGCAGCTCTCATCTGCAAGAAAAAGCAGTGTAGAGAAGAACTTATGCTAACACCCCTTGAAGGGCAACTAGGCAATGCCTTTGGGAAACGGGGAGGTGGGAGAGAGGCTGCAGAGCAGCAGCACAGAGGCTTCTCTGCTCCTTTTGCTTCCTGCAATGGCTCTCGTGCAGCTGTGGAAGCGCAGACGTGCTGGCAGTGCCTGCACAGCTGTGGGATCTGCCTCGCACAGATCCCCATCGGGGCTCCCGGCTCCCAGCTCAGCTCCACTCTCGCCCCACGCATTGCTCCAGGGCACAGACGCGTTCCAAATCGCGGATCCATTGATTAATTGAAGCGCAGAGCTCTTGGCCGGGGATGCCGGGGACAGGTGGCTGAGCCTTGCCTTACACTTGGTTTTCATTAAGACTTCCAGACACTTCTGATTCCAAGCCAATAAAAGAGCTTGCTCAGAGTTTATCCTAGATCCAGCGAAAGAGCTTCACGCTTAAATAAAAGAAAGGGAAAAGAAAGGAAAGGGAAAGAGGCGGGGGGGAAGCCACCAGCGAACACTTCGGAACCGGGAGAGGAGGAAAACATACAGACCTGCATACAGAGCCGCCCGCCGCGGGGGGATACGGTCGGAGGAGCGCCGTCCGCACGGGGACAGCGGGGACCCCTCGGGCCGGGCCGGGCGGTGCAGCGGAGGCGGTATCGGTATCGGTACCGGGCGGCGCGGAGCAGCAGCAGCAGCAGCAGCAGCAGCAGCAGCCGCTCCTTCCGACTTCAAAGCGCTGCCGGGCGCTGGGCTCGCAGCGAGGAGAAGCCGCAGTGGCTCCCCCCAGCCCGAGCCGACAGCTCTTATAGCAAAGGGGGGAAGACGGGGCGGGGGGGAGCGGGCGGAATTCACACCTCTCGGCCCGGGATGCCCCCACCCCGGTTAACCCCTCGCCTCCCCCGGCGCCGGCCCGCGGCCGCCAGCCGGTTTCCTGGTTTCCTGCGGGGAGGCCGGGCGGGGGGGGGGGGGGGGGAAGCGGCACGCATGCGTCCCCATCTCGGTTTTTTTCACCCCCCCCTCCCTCACGGGCAGGGTTGTGGATGGGCTTCTCGGCTGGAACGGGGTTTTCTCCTGCAAAAAGAGAATAAAATTCCTCTAAGCTGCGTTTATCGGTGCGATTTATTGGAAATCAGCGTCGTTCGCTCTGCTTCTGCCACGCCAAAGAAAGGCGATGGGAATAAGGTGGGCTCGATGCACCGCGGGGACCACGGCCCCCACCTCCCCCCCCCCACTTCCCACTCCATCCCCGGCTCGGTGACAGCCGTGCACGTGGCAGAGAGAAGCCAGAGGAGCACAGCAGCACGTGGGGACGTGATGTATGGAACCACGACACACGGTTCCCTGGGCTCAGTGTGGCCGATGACACAGCTGAGGGTGACATGTGGCTGCGTGCACATTCCCTGCACTCACAGTGGGGATATCTCATTGTGGAACCCACCTGAAGGATCTCCTGCTCCCAACTCCAAGGGGTGCTTCATCACCGAGTGCCATCCACGTGTCACCCAGCAGCTGTGGGGTGCAGAACCCCCAGGGGCAGCCACACCTCTTGTCCTTGTAAATTTGGACCCGGGGATGGCAGTGAGGAGCTGAGGAATCTGTCCCAAAAAATTTACATGGGAAATGAAGTCTCCTTTTTCTGTTTGGTTAAACGTCTGCCAGCCTGCTTTAATTCATCCAGCCAGGTTGATTTGCAACTTTTAGTTTTCCGTCGGTTGGCTGTGACCAGGACACTGGGAAAATTTAGCACTTGAGTTCACCCAGCTTCTGCGTTTCAAAATATCCCAGCTCGAGACACGCAGGAGGAAACCCTTTCCGTTTCGGAACAACCAGGAGGGAAAAGTCTGAACATGAGAGATTTTTAACAGCATCAAAATATTTCACATTGAAGACGCCAGCTCAGCTCAGCTCTGTGCGAGCTGCTGTGCGCCCAAAGCTTGTCCTGATCCTGCACCCCGTGGGTGGGACCCCAACCCAATGGGACCCCAATCCTGCATGACCCCATCCCACTGCAGTGACAAGCAGAGCTGGGGAGCGCTGGGGTGAGGGACAGCTGTCCCCATGCAGGCGCTGGAGGTGCCAGCAGCAGGCGAGACACACTCGGTCTCCATACTTCACCAAAAGCCCACCGAAGCCAAAGGACTTTACTTTTTTTTCTTTCTTTTTTTTTTTTTTTTTTTTTTTTCCTTTTCTTTACGAAACAGTTGAGATGACTCAGCGGTTTCTGACGCAATCCCCGTTTCATCGGAAAATTCCTAACCAGCTCCTAGTGGCAACTGATCGCTCCCATAAATCACGCCGTGTTATCCCTGGCCGCAGCAGAGCGGCTTACGCAGCCCCGGCCCCTCTGCGCGAAATCAGCAGGAGCGATGCCATCGCGTCACCGGGAGCAAAAGCAGCCCTGAAAGCAAAACGCGGCACAGAACAGATCCAAAGCACCACCCCAAAGCCGGGGGACGCGGTGCTGCTGCCGAGGCTGCCGGCAGGTCCAGCATTAATCATCGGCAGCCGGGCTCAGACGACAGGGTTTTTTATCTCCTGGTTTTTGGCGTGAGCGTTAGAAATGATTTGCAGATGTTATTGACTGCTTTTTGGGGCTGGAGTAAATTGAGACAAGATGCACCTGCGTGGAGGGTGAAAAGCACTCTCAACCTGGGGATGGGCGCAGTGTGCTTGCAGAGGACGTTCCCAGAAAAGTCCAGGACTGAGCCATGGGAAGATGGAGCACCAGCCCCATACACAGCACAGTGCATGTGGGGCAAATCTCAGCAGGGGTGGGGCTCAAATGGTGCAGATGGCCGAATCTGCAGGAAAAGCTCCAGCTAACCCTAACCCGAACCTTAAACCTAACCCTAACCCTGTGCTTCGCTTTCCCTGAGGCCAGTTTTTCCATTCCAAATCCGTGCCTCGCACAACTCACAGTACAAATAAATGGAGCAACAGATGCTCCAGAATGTTCTCCTCCTGGAGCGGTGACCCTGGAGCAAGGAGCCTGGAGCAGGACCTGCTTCTGGTGGACTGAGCCACATCTTGGCCACAGGATGCATCCTGCACCACTTTTCAGGCAAAATTGTCCCTTTTTTGGCCCCAGTGCCACGTGGTGTGCTGCAGCATTGCTGTTCCCAGTCCCATTAAGACATCTAGGAGAGCCAGGCTGGAGGAGCGTGGTATGGTGTGTGCTGGTCCAGGACCTTGGCAGCTTTGGATTCACTCAAGGGTGACACATCTCCCAGACTTTCTTCTTTTCTAGGGCTGTCTTCAAAACTGACCCTCTTATTCCACAATTCTGCAGAGCTACAAGCAGTAAATACAGCTGTAAGGCAGTCACAGAGTGGGGTGGGAGCCCTGCACGGCCAGGACTTTGCCAGGGGGATCAAAATGTGACAAAGCCCCAACAAATGCCCTGGCAGACAGCCCTAGCTTCTTCTCCAGAGCTGTGGCTATGGCCTACCACTGTGCAACTAAACCAAGCAAGAGGAGACCAACAGTTGTCCTTTGGAGACACTCCCAGTCCCTTGCAGAGTGACCTACGGCTCAGTGTTAGGCAAGGCACTTAAGCTCTGCGTGCTTGCATGAAATGTGGACAACAGTGATTTATGTCGTGTTAGCATGAGGGTTTCATCCATGGATATTTGCAATATGCTCAGTCAAACCAACAAGCCACCAAGCTGCTCTCGCCATCAGGTTCCTATTAAAAATGCCTCTGGGAAGTCTGAAAGCCACAAGTGACCGCAGTGTTCCCAGGTATGGTCATAGCCGTAGGGTTTTAATGCCTTTAAAACCACTTTTTTTTCTTTTGCTTTAGTTCTATCTGTCCCCAAAGGGCGTATATTCCTGCAGGAACCTGGAGGAGCCTTCAGACCCATCACGCTTGGTTGGAAATTTAAGCTATGCAAAGATTAAAAGGCAAAATTACAAAGCTTTTTCTTTTGGTGGAATGAGCCTTGCATGGAGGTTGTGTGGTATTGTGCTGAGGAACACAAGCTATGCAGCATTGCCAACCACAGGCATTCGAAAGTCATGAGTCAGACTCCCCCAAATCCTAAGATTGGTTTCATTCCCTTCTGGCTTCTGAGCCTTTAGACATCACAGATTCAAACTTTTCTCTTCAGAAAATAAGATTTTTGGCCAGGGGGGGCTGGAGCTGAGACCTTCCCATTGCCACTGTGCTCCAGCAGCTGCGAGTGCAACAAAACCCTTATGCCCCATGAAACCAGCAATAAACACCACTGCAAGACCCCCACCTATTTCCACTTCTGGCATCCAAGCAGCCCACCCTGAAGCAGAAGCAGAGGGGTGAGAGCAACAACAAACAGGTGATAAAACATACATCCTCATCACTAATGGTGACATTGCAATGGGCAGTGACCAGGTAGAGGAGCAGGGAAGGGTGGAAAACCCAAAGGAAAAAAGCAAAGGTATCAGTGAGGACCACATACAACTGGAGACGAGAAGCAGGAATCATTAAGGGCAAGCACTAAGCTAAAATGGGGCCCGGCCTCACAGAGAACAGACATTTTAAGTGGCAATTTATTTCACTAATAAGGCTGCAGGTGCAGAAGGGAGTGGGTGGGCACTGCCCCATAGCCAGGAGCATGCCTGGAGGGGTCTTTCCCCACACCTGTGAGCTGCAGACCTATAGAAAGGATTGTGGTTCTATCAAAAGCTCTCTTTGCATTCATGCAGTGGCTCTGACAAAGGTGGTGGGAGGGAAAAATCCCTATGCTCTTCTCACTCCTGCTCCTTGGGGTAGGGAAGGCGGCTCCTTCACTCACCCAAAGGAGAATAAATTCTTCATATTCAATACTGGCATCCATCCCCACTCCTCTTTCGGTGCATTCTACACTCAACCTATCACCCTCACATTAAAAATAACACAAAACTCTCTGTGTCTCCTTTCCCCTCTGCAACGTCTGAGCTGAAACAGTAGAAGTGCTCACAGAGAGCCATGGTTAGTGTTACTCTGGAAGGATCCAGGCCGGCATACCAGAACCTGGTTTTGGCATCTGGGAACCACTTTTCAGCCATATATATCACCGTTCTTGTGTGCACTCTGGTCCACACAAAATTAGCCCTGTGGAATGTGAATGTGAAATTTGCTTTCCAGAAGCACTTAAAATGCAGGAGCTAAAATTTGCTCTTTCTAGATTTCCTACCTGTTTAAGAGTGCAGGAACAGAATTCTGGCCCTTTGTCCCTTGGGTTCCTTCCCTGGAAGATGTGCAAAGCCCATGTGTAGCACCGTGTGTTGAAACAAAGACCCCGAGGTGAGCTGCCACCTGCCCTGCACACTTTGCTTTGGGCTCTCTTGTTCAATCAGTGCTGGAACACGTGTGCAAACCAGGGGTGTTTTTTTTTTTCCTCCATGCCTACAGTGCTGGCTGCAAATCAAGCACCAGCCCAGGGCGTGCAGCTGGGAGAGACAAAACCCAAAGCACCTGAGGAATGTTTTCTTGCTCCTGAGAGCTCCAGCACTTACTGCCCAGGGCTGGCACGCACTGCAGCCAGCAGCCAGCTGGGTTTCCCTTCCCCTGGGCTCCAGCTGCGTTTTGGGCAAAGGAATGAGGGGGGTTCATGTGACAACGGCTTGATCAGGTTTTGAAGCTGTTGCATGCAAACGCCACAGTGCTTGCAAACGGTCCCAAGGGGCTGCCATGCACACAGTTGTGGACATGTGTCCACTTTGCTCCAGTTCCCACTCAGGAGAAGTTGGGTAGCTCCGTGCTGGCTCGAGGTGAGAGATTTTCATGGTGTAAAGGGATCACAGAGCTTTTCACTATTTATTTGCAGTTTTGCAGGGATTTGTGCTAAGCTTGTGCAGGCGGGAGGGCAGCTGAAGACGTGCATTGAGCAGCGCCCTGTGAAGGGATGCTCACCTGCAGACCTGACCAGTTACAGAACCACAGAATCATTCAGGATGGAAAAGACC